TATATATATATTGCAAACTGATAATCGAATGGGTGTGACTGCCACGATGGTGGTCGAACTAAGAAAGGGTGAGTGGGTCGTAGCAACAGCTGCCGCTGCTGCCGCCGCTGCTGCCACTTCTGCTGCTGCTGCTGCGGCGTGAAAATTTAATTTCAATTTGCAATTTGAAAAATGAAAAATGAAATTTCGGCACCAGCAAGTCGCTCCGCAGTGGAGGGGAATTCAAATTAATGATAACATACATACATACATACATACATACATATATATGTATATACAAGTTTATTTCTGTTTGCTTAGCCACTGTGGCAGAGACAGTGCCCGAGTCAGAGTCACTGCAGAGTGCATGACCTGGCCTAGGGAGTCGGCCTTGGCGTAGGGCGTGGCCGCCCACGCGAAAACATCACTCATGACTAATGGCTGCTCTTTATTATTTTATGTTTTTCTCTTTTTTGTTTCGCTTCTAGTTATATTCTTTTTTTCTGTATTTTTTTGTGGGGGTCATCATTAGCTGAAGGTGGCCACGTCAGAGYCACGGTGCGGAAATGAACAGCAATGGCAGCAGTGGCAACAACAACAATTGCTGAAAAATTGTGGCCAAATGCAATTTTGCAGACAAGCCAAAGTCGTCAATAAACCGATCAGTGTTGCAGCGCCACCTGCCGCACAAAACGGGCGCACAATAAGCGGCTTAAGATGAAGGCTACAAATATCCCCGCCCCCCGTTAGCCCTCTTCTGCCCCAACGCCCCAACGCTTCCTTCCGCTGTGCTAAACAGAAATAACTAAACTGTTTACGCGCTTACGGCTGTGGCCCATTGCTGTAATGTAAATGCTAAATGTTAATAAGAAATGCAGCGAGGCGAATACTTAAAGGCAATTAACACACTGCTTACCTGCTCTTATCAGTGCAGGTAAGAGTCGAAACGTTGGCGTCTCACGTGATGCAAATGCCCCTTTTTAGCATTTATTCATTTATAGAATGAGTAAATTTGTGTATTTTACTTGAAACTGATTCACGATCGGCTTATCAGCAAAATGGCCAATTATGTCGCAATGCGATGACGTCATGCGGCAACGCATTGCCATGGCCCAAATGGGCATTATATAAAAAGAAGAAGCAGCGGAGTGCAATGAAAAGTAACGGCGCGTACTTAACAGCCGCGAATTGACGTTAACGATCATGTTAGGCAGGCAGGCCGCTGTTATGTGAAAAGGCGCCGCTGTTAATTGCTAATGAGCATGTTAAGCATGTTGACAAAAAAAAAATAATAATAATAATAAAGAAAAATAAACAATTACAAACAAACCGCAAAAACAACAACACCAGCCAATAACAATAACAAGAACGAGGCTCTCTGGCTGCATTTGAGAAGCAATGAAAATCAATTAAAATTAATTGATACAAAAGTCAAATTAAATGGGGAGGGGAGACCGCTTACGGTGCGGCATGTGTTTGTTCTTGTTGTCGTTGTTGTAATTGGCTGCTTTTGCGTCATTTGTTGTTGCTGTTGCAAATTAAACGAACAATGTGGAATAATTAGAAAATGCAATCGCTTTGAGGCGCTCTCCTCTGCACTCTTTTTTTTTTTCTTTCTCTTAATTTCTCTAGCTCGCTCGCTCACACACACACAGCCCAGCCAGTTTTTTTGAATTAGGTTATAAATTAAAAGAATACGGGGAATTGTCGGAAAGAGAATGGGAGATAAACCGCATAATAGGTCTAGAGGTATTTTTCATTACTTACTTTCCAGCAGCCGTTGTTTTTTTTTGTCCACATTTAAATCAAAATCGCCCATGATTATTTTGTTTTTGTTTTTACTTTTTTTTTTGTTGTTGTCCTTCTCTAGATGCAGTCAGCAGTGAACTCCAATTGGAATTGTTTTTTTTTCAACTACAACAACTCTCAAAAGTAAACGTACACGCACAAAATGTTGTTTGTTATTTTGATGTTGTTGCTACTGCTGCTGTAGTTGTTGTGTTGCCGCTGCTGTGCCGTGTACTTAATTTTTTTTGTGTGTGCCGCAAAAGGCAATTTCACTTTGTGTAACACTTTTCAGCGCTTTTTGCTCTGTTGCGTTGCGGCGTTTTACAGTTACAGTGTTGCTGTTGTTGTTGTTATTGTGGTTGGTATTGGTGCCGCGGCTGCTGTTGTTGCTGTTAAATTTTTAGGCTATTTTTGTGCAAATGGAACAATTGTTGTTTGTGTTGATTTTCTCACTGGATGCTACTGCACTGACAAAAAAATAATGTACGATAATATAGTGCGGACGCGTTCCTTTTAATTTATTCATTCAAACAAAATTCCACGACACATTCGACTAGGAGCGCTTCAAATTATCTGCTGTTACTCCGCGTTAAAAACAAATAAAATAACCAAACATGGCGACAGTCTCGCGTGAACTATTGGGCAAGTGTGGCCACGAAGAGTGTAAACGAAAATACTTGACACTTGACACTAAAAAATACCCCAAAATTTCGATATCGATTACAGCTAAAATACCATGATGAAGACAATTTGTAAAATTTATTTTTCAATCATATTGTTTAAATTGAATAAACCAATCATTGTTTTTATTATTATTAAATATAKGCAATTTTATTATTTTATCATATTACAGCAAATATAATTGTCGATAGGCCGCATTAAAGCAGCTGTCGAAGGCGCACACATTCAAATAAACTATCAAAAAGAGCGGATAGTGGAATTTATAAAATATTCTTGATTTAAAACATACTTATTGAAGTGAATTAAAATATTTAATTTTTATGAAATCTTAAAAGTAGTCTATAGTTCATCGCCGCCAATAGAGAATTAATTTGAATTCTCAACTAATAATACCAATAGCTATTTGAATTTTTTGTATTTGTATGACCTATCGTATTTTTTTCTGCGTTCGCAGCCAACTTTAAGGCTCTCAAAATTGCGCGATTCGCGCTCTGTTTACCAACAAGCTGCGTTCGGCGCTTAAATAGCAGCTGTTCAGCAATGATGAATTATTTTCCCAACTATTATTCGATTGAGGACATCTTTGTCACCCAAGAAAAGGTCGAGTGCAAAGTCAATACCCGTCTACAGCGGTTGGGTAAGCAATAATTAAATGAAGTGATCTGTAGGGACGCTATATTCTCGTTGCTCTTGCAGGCTTCCTAGATGCCGGTGCTGAAACGGAGGACCTGGAGCCCGGCCGAACGATTAATTTGCCGCTGTGGTACATCAAGGAGCTGAAAGTGAACAATTCGTACTTCACAATAGGCGTGCCGGACATATACAAGAACGTGCACAAGGCCGTTTGTGAGGCAGAGACAACGCACATCGAACTGGGTCGACTGCATCCATATTTCTACGAGTTTGGTCGCTATCTAACGCCCTACGATCGCAACCATGTGATTGGTCGCATCATATTTGAGACGCTGCGCCAGCGCGTACGCCATTTGTTGGACATATCAAAGAACGATGGTGAGAGCAAACGCGAGCATCGGCTCGACAACATCGAGAGCAAGCTCCACGAAGCGGGTCTGCGCACCAATACCCAGGTAAGTCTGCTGCCATATCCCATCGGATATCGACATCATCGACTCATCCAATGTGCATTGTAGTACATCAACTGGCTGCAAATGAGCGGCAATCACATACGCATCTCCCAGCTCGTCGAGGAGCATCAGAAGAAACGCAAGCGAGCCGAACGCAGCGACGATGAAGGCGGTGATGAAACGGACACGCCCTCTAGCAAAAAACGCAGCACAATGTAAACAAGATGTGATAATAGAGACATCGAAAAAAACACACACATTTTATTTTATGTTTCACTTTAAGCGTATTTGTAAAAAGAAATCTATAAACTAATTGGGAAAATCCAAGTATACAAAAAATAACAAATAATAAAAAGGGGGAAAACAACAAAAATGATTTTATAAATTCGACTTGCCGAAAATTGTATAACTCGACAGATTCCGAGAGATAAGATAATGGAAGCATTTCAAACAAATAAGATAAACTACTTCTCTAGACAATTCTACACTTAAATTGTACAATATAATTCACATAAAAATAATTTTCATGTCTTAATTACAATTTTAAAACAGAGCTGAAAAATCAGATTTAATTTATATGGATTCATTCGTATTTCAATATTTATAAACACATACATATACATATGTAAAAAGTCTATTCAGATTTCCACAATTTCGGCTAGATTGAAAATGATTTAATTTTTATTATTTAATTTTTTTTTTTTTTTTTTTGGGGACTTTTGTTTTTCGTTTTCTAACCCCAGCGTGGTAAATACGTACAACAACCATATTATTGATAATAACATCCATATTTGTAGCAACCAATTAGTTTTCATTTTAGTTATTTAAGCAGTTTTCTAATGACTTGTAAATATTTTCGTACTTTTCACTGTTGTCTCACACAAAAAATAAAAAAATAATAATAAAGAAAAAAAATCGTTTAGTACAATATAGCTTGGTATATAGTTGGGTTAGAATATATATCGTTATGTATAGATCTCTCTTTATATGTATGTATATATATACTCTTCTGCTTGGTTTTTGTATATACGATTATATCCTCTCATTTGTTGCAACAACACTGGGAACAATAAGCGCACCTATCAAGGCAACAGTTTGTCAAGCATTTGTTTGGTTTTCGAGTCGTTTCTCAATTGAACTACTTATCTAATACGGAAACACGCACATACTATATATGCACACATACACATCAATATATATGTATATATATATACTCTTGCATATGGGTAACGCACTTGTGCTCGTTTGGATTTTGTAAGCTCTGTTGGAATTTGGAATATACATATATATTCATTCATACATATGTATGTATATTCGTAATCGAAACATAAAATATTTGTGCTCTGGCCATCAAATCTAATTTGATGGGCTGCGACATGTGGAAGATCATATTTCTGTAAAGATCTTGATGCATGGTTCAAATATATAGTAGAATGTATACATATATATATTTATATAGTATTAGAATAACTCGTGCAGCTCGATTTTGATTTTATTTTCTGTTCTGTTTTGGATTTCCTCTTATCACATTTACTCTACACATACACATCTCTCTCTCTCTCTATTTCTTTCTCCCTCTCTCTCTCCCTCACTGACTTTCTCTTTCTATACATATACATCTGCTTAGGTACGCATGCCTCGGCCAGCCGAGTTCTATATATAATTTCTTTGATTTCATTTACAACATTTCATTTAATTTAACAGCCAGTTTAACATGTGGTTAAACAATTAACAGGACATTTAAGCTGACTGAAGGCAGCTGCCAAATGTGACATATACATATACTCA